TGCCTGGCTGTGGAATTCTGGGAGTTGAAGTCCACAAGTCTAAAAAGTGCCTCACCAGGGCTAAAGCTGACCACATGTCACTGTTCTGCACCACTAATTAATGTGCTGCAACTGCAACTTTCTCCTGATGCTTTACTTTTCTTTCTTTAGGAGAACAAAGGGCGGCCTTTTGTGATTAAGCCCATCTCTTCCCCTCTCATGAAACCTTTGCTTGTATTTGTGAATCCAAAAAGTGGAGGGAATCAGGTAAATATGAGGCATCAAACACAGAATGGGCTTGTACCAAGAAAGGGATTTAGAATGTATGTCAGGAAAAAGATGTCTCAAGTCCAGAGGTGGTATTCAGCCAGTTTGGACCAGTTCTGGCATACCAGTAGCAGGAAATTTTGTGAAGTTTGGAGAACCGGCAAATACCACCTCTGGCTGGCCCCGCCCTCCTGCCCCCGCTGGTCCCTGGCCTATATTCCCTTGTTTTTTTTAGCTCAGCTGATTCACGTGGCAGACTGGATTGCCACACCTCAGCTGAGCTAAAAAACAGCTCAGCTCACCAGCGCTGGCACAGAGGGCAGTCTTTGAGTGTTGCGCACGAAGCACTCTCTCTCTCTCATAGAGTCGGTAGGAAAAGATTTGGAATCCCACCACTGCTGAAACCTGATGAATGAGTTAAAGGTTGGAAATAGGTTCTAAAATAAGATAGAAGAGAATATTGCAGCTCGGGGTTGAACTGGGGGATCCTTGGTGCTCTCTGAACTTGGTGGTTTTCTTGCAGACGTTTCAGTACCAAACTAGGTAATATCATCAGTGCATCTACAATAAGAGTTCTCTTAATGTGAAACTAGTGAAATACTGTATCATGCATTTTAAGACTGAGGTACACATTAATTGAAAATTTTCTTTCCCCCCCTCCTTTACAGGGTACTAAAGTGCTCCAGATGTTTATGTGGTATTTGAATCCTCGTCAGGTTTTTGACTTATCTCAGGAAGGACCAAGAGATGCGTAAGTTCTGGGGTGTTTAGTTTAACCTGCCCTTCGTTCTTTTATTTTTATGTGAGGCCACTCAAAACACTTTGGAGGCAAACATCACCATTTCTAATAATTGAAAACATAAACTGGCTTCTGGCCACGATAGCTGGAAGTAGTAGGGATTCTGGTTCCAACGAGCGCAGAGAGAATTAACTTGAGAAAGATGACTTGAGAGCAACTCTCCCTTGAACTGGTCAGTTGTGACAATTAAATTTATACCTCCTTGTGCTTATTATTATTATCCTCTTCAGTGGGCACCAGGTCATTTTGAACAGCTAAGAGCCACAAATAAAAAGAAATGGGCAGTCAAAGACTCCACTGGTACAAAAATTACCTGAGAATGTCAAGTAAATGATAGATATGGGCATTTCCAGTAGTGATATGAAAGTGGCTTGAATTTTTAAGGGGAAAATTTAAGGTGTGTCAATGAATGCATTAATTTTACAAATGGCAGTGAAAATGACTATTGTATATCATAGATGGGATTCACTTACCTTCCTGTTCTGTCCCCCCCTTCTCCGCTCGTTAACAAACGGCAAGCAGACAAACTTAAAAGAAACTTTCTTTATCAGTTCTCGGCTCAGACTGGCTTTGAGCCCAAAAATAACATAAATA